TTTGGCGTTTCTGAGCAGCAGCCATGTGACTCTGAGCCAACTCACTCATCTGCTGCAGTTTATCCCTCATATGGAGAACAAATGAAATAATGTTGACAGGATCCTCTTTACTTTGATCTCCCTCCCATGCATTTTTCAGCAGGGTCAGAGGGCCCCTCACATCATGGCCATAAAGGAGCTCAAATGGGGAGAAACCAGTGGAAGCCTGAGGAACCTCTCTACAGGCAAAAAGGAGGTATGGCAACCACTGGTCCCAATCAGAGCCTGTATCATTAACAAACTTACGAAGCATTTGCTTGAGGATTTGATTAAAACGCTCCGTCAGGCCATTCGTCTGTGGGTGGTATGGTGTCGTTCTCATGCTCCTGATGCCCAACAGCTTATAGACCTGTCTCAACAGTGTGGACATAAAGTTAGTGCCCTGATCGGTTAAAATCTCCTGTGGAAATCCAACCCTTGAGAAAAGTTGAATCAGTGAGGAAGCCACATGTTTTGCTTTAACAGTCTTTAGTGGAAAAACTTCAGGATATCTTGTCGCATAGTCTGTGATGACTAGCATGAAGCGATTTCCAGATTTACTTTTTTTCCCATGAATGATCATTTTAAAGGCCCGTCTGAACCACCTGTAGAAAAAAGCATAAACTAATGGATTCAACATGGAATTGGACCATCCTAACCATTTAAATGCTTCAATAACTACAACTGGTATTGTGAATTTTCTTATTCGGTACAAACTGATAGACAGAAAGAAAGGAGTCCAACACATGTGGAAGACTCCCATCACTATAGCCAGAGTTATGTTGGCCTTATTCTCCATCTTACTGAGAGCTGCTTCAGACTTCATAATGTTCTGGATTCGCCTCGCCTGCTTCTTTGCCACCACCAAAATCTTTAGATAAATAGTTAAAATTATGACAGCTGGAATGTAAAATGCAAACACAGAACCAGTTGTCGATTCCTCCGTAGCTAGAAATATCTTGCACTTTGAACGAGGACTCTCTTTACCTATTCCACGTACTATGACGGCAATCAAAAGCAAAATAGGTAGAACCCAGCTCACCAGGATCATGGTCACAGAAACACGAACATTCATTTTATTTCTGTACATTAGTGGATGACGCACTGCATAATATCTGTCAACAGAGATAAAGCACAAGTTTAAAATAGACGATGCACACAGTAATAAGTCAAACAGGCCTCGCACTTTGCAGAGAAAATCACTTGAATAGTAACATGAACTCAGAGACAATATTGTGCTGAAAGGTAAAACTAAAGCCCCAACCAGCAGGTCAGTCACAGCCAGAGAGAGGATGAGGTAGTTTGTTGGAGTGTGGAGCTGCTTGAAGTAAATGACAGAGATGATTACAAGAAGATTTCCACATGTTATCAGAAGTGACAAAGAAACAGCAACAACATTTAAAGCATAAGAGGTCACAGTCTGTCTGTGAGGCTCTGCTGATTCATTACAGAAATGCTGGTCTTCAACCATATCAGCTCTGTAAAAATTTCTGCATTGTTGATGAAAATGTGAAATTTCAATACAGTGTGTCCTTCATTCTCCACTAAGCAGTGACTTGGGAGTGATGTCCTTTATGGCTGAACAGCTCTCCTCCATCACATTTATTATTCCATGTATGTCTGTTCATTGGCTGCACATGAGTAAGACTGGGGCTTCCTTGGTATCCAAGGTGATGTCCTCCCTGGTGTCCCTTTGAGGAGTGATATGCATACTGTTGTTGTACTCTTGCATTGTAGTGTATTTGTAATAGAATGTGATTACTTGCAAGTCAATAGATGTAGATTGTCACAATTAAGGCTGAGTACTCTTTGTATTTAGTAGTTTTTTACTGTGATTTTCCAGATGGAAAACCAACAAGAACACCCCTCGAGTTGGAATTCCATCTGAGAGAAGCTGTATGTACCTGAGCCTTTTTACCACAATGTTTAATCCAGGATCAAATGAACGGCTCATTACCAGGCCTGTTCAGAGCTGAATGACTGCTGCTGAGGGAATTCAGCCATTTGATCCCAGTCTGTTGGAGCAGGGATGCATCTGAAAATTGCAGGATGGTAGCTCTTGAGGACTGGACTTGAGGACCCCTGGATTAATCTGTCTTCTGTTGTGCCTCAGGGCTCTATGTTGTATTTATGTGGACACACTTGGTAGAAACATACTGATTCTAAATTGTATCTCTTTGCTGATGATACAGTCTTTTACTGTTCTAAAAGCAGTCTGTAAATAGTAGTATTTACAAACTTCTTTTAATGTTGTGGAACGTCATCAGCTTATGGATTTGAAACTTAGTTGATTTTCTTTTCTAATGGCAAGAAAATACCTAAGACTTATCCAAGGGAAACTCAATGTAGAGCCTTGTTCTACAAGTACCATGATGTTGATTGATGATGGCTCTCCTTTTATTTCATATAGAGAATTTGATCAAAAAAGTTGTGCTTCTTTTATTGCTCCAGCAGAATTTCCACATAGTATGGAGAACAGTTTGAAAGGCCTGGGTGATGTCATCTGTATTTGCCGTCGTTTGAAATGCATGGGTGACATAACTGTGATGTGCAGCAGATACCAAACTTACCCTTCATAAAGGTGATGTTTTTAAAGAGGCAGGTCCAGCGCCGAGGTCAGATGGTGTCTGAACAAAAATACACAGTGGATCCAGATGAAATGGCTCCTGTCCACCAATGTGTGTGAGCTGAGCCGAGTCCTGAGTAAAAGCCTGTGTGGCAAGATCAAGCTGCATGTTTTCATATATACGTTATGGACGACTTTATTGGATATATTTAGTGTTTTAAGAATGTTTATTATGCATTCTTCTGTAGCCGTTCTTTATAAAAGTATTTGGACATGAGAAGATATTCAGCATGGTAACTGGGTTTCAAAATTGCTTTTGCAAATAAAAATACTCAGAATTTACAATAAACCAAAAAATAAGAATGGATTCGAGACCAGGCCTTCCTAGATCAAGCCAAATGTTTAGAAAAAGCTGACTGTTCCTATAAACACATATCCTGGATATATTGATAGATTAGGTATCTTAATAATAGTGTTATTATTAATCACATCACCTCACAGGGGGAATTCCCAAAACCATCAGAGTCAATAGAATTTGTGGGATTTAGGACACAGGGAGAACAGATTACAGGAGACAAAGGGAAACATTTTGACACAAAATGCTGCGATTGGTGACCAGTAAGAAATGCTTCCTCCCATCACAAGACTCCACTTTGGATATATCCAAAAAAAAATAAAAATTCTCCCAGGGAATTTCATATTTTCAGGTAATTTCCTGGCACACATGCATACTCATAAGCAGGACACAGCAAGAAAAGGAAAAGGAGTTTATTTATAACAGTAAAATAATATGCACAATGGAGGCTCGGGTTTCTGAGGTCAACAGCTTTGTTTTTGAAGAGAGATGTCACAGATTCTTAGCCACCTATCTTCAGGTGAAGGTAAATTATCTCAGAGCTCTGAAATCCTCATCAGGCAATCAGATGATTGCAGGCAGGTGTGTAGGCAGCTGCAGGATAGCCACACCCTCCATCGAAGATCCTTTGTTCAAGGAAAGATTTCATACGTGCACACACACCAGGATCCTAACAGGGAAATTGAACTGGATTGCAGTGAACAACTTAGTAAAACAATCTGGCTTTAAACTTATGGAAAAATACACCACATCTTACATGTAAACTGGAAATCTTCTAAGAAAAATACAGATGGCTACTGTATACACTGCCATTGCTGTCTTGCACAGAACACTGTGCATAATGAAAGTCACAGACTAACTCAGGTATTTCTACATTTTCTAGTTTATTTTGTAGCTGGGTTATGTAGGCACCAATGTCTTAGTGAGGTGCTCCAATCATTATTATTATTATTATTATTATTATTATTATTAAAGCTTATAAATATCTGGGTTTATAAAATAAAGATTAATTTTAAGCATATGGATAAAGATTTCAAAAGATTTCATGGAGTGAACTGAAAATGCAATGCATGTAAGTGATTTGTATGTTAATTATTTTTACTCTACATAATACACTTCTATACACATAACATCAAATACATACATGCATTGTGACCTAAATGTTTAGACAGAAATAACAGAAACAAAATATTAATAAAAACCCATTAACATAATTATGCATATATCACAATAATTTTGTATTGGAAAAATCTCCTTGAAATATTTGACCAGAAATGATCATAGTAAAAGCTCGTCTGAACCACCTGTAGAAAAAAGCATAAACCAGAGGATTTAACATAGAATTGGACCATCCTAACCACTTAAATGCTTCAATGGCTGCAACTGGTATTGTGACTATTCCCATACTGTAAAAACCTATGGATAAAAAGAAAGGAGTCCAACATACGAGGAAGACTCCCAGCACTATAGCCAGAGTTATGTTGGCCTTATTCTCCATCTTACTGAGAGCTGCTTCAGACTTCATAGTGTTCTGGATTTGTCTTGCCTGCTTCTTTGCCACCATGAAAATCTTAAGATAGATTGATAAAATTATAATAGCTGGAATGTAAAATTCAAAAATTGTTTCCGGACTGAATTGTTTTGTAGCTGTAAATAAATTACACCTCCTGCTGAGATTTTCTTGATTTATCCCACGTGCTGTGATGCTTATAGCAAGCAGAGCTGAAAGAGACCAGCTCACCAGGATCAGAGTCACAGTAACACGAATGTTCATTTTACTTGAATATGTTAAAGGATGACACACTGCATAATATCTGTCAATGGATATACAGCACAAATTTAAAATAGACGATGCACACAGTAATATATCAAACAGGCCTCGCATTTTACAGAGTAAATAACTTGAATTCCAGCATGAACTCAGAGACAATATTGTGCTGAAAGGTAAAACTAAAGTCCCAACCAGCAGGTCAGTCACAGCCAGAGAGAGGATGAGGTAGTTTGTTGGAGTGTGGAGCTGCTTGAAGTAAATGACAGAGATGATTACAAGAAGATTTCCACATGTTATCAGAAGTGACAAAGAAACGACAAAAACATTAAATGCATGAGAGGTCACAGTCTGTCCAGGCAGCTCTGCTGATTCATTACAGACACGATGATCTTCAACCATGTTTTCAGTTCTGTTATAAAACAAATTAATATAGTAAAAAGTGATCAACAAAAACAAATTCACTTGCTTTCATCGGCAGACATAACAGACAATTCAGTGCTCTCTGTGATTCAGTGTAAGTCAGATTGGAGAGTTGTGTCCTTGGTGTCTTCATGACTGAAGTGCATCCATGTGTTAGATTTATTGTTCCATGTTTATGTGTTCATTGGGTTCATATTGTGGATGTTGCCAGGAGTTCTTTTGTATCCAAGGTGACATGTTCCCTGGTGTCACAATAAGGAACAATTCACATGTTAGTGCTAATGTTTTTCTGATATGCTTTGTATCTTTACTACACTTATATGAATAATCTATTACCATAAAGCAAAGATAAGCAAGTTGTCGAACTGAATTTCTATTTTATACATTTTAAATGATGTGACACACAATAAACCAGATTTATTATTTCTTTATTTCTGGATTTGACAGCATTTGCTACTTTGGAAGAAAGAGTAAGTCTCACTGAAAAGTGAAAAGGAAACGACAGTGGTGGCATTTACTAACACAGTTCTACAGTCAAAGACTGGAGTCATTTTTTCCATTTAATGGTGAGAAAATGACTGTCAGTCATTAAACGATGAATAATGAGTGTTAATTATTTTTATTAAGAAAAACACAAATTGGCAATATATTTTGCCAGTTTTAATGGGGATCAGCGGTCAACAGCACTTTGCACCCACATATTTTCTATCAGATTGAGGTCTGGACTTTGACTGGGCCATTACAGAGCATCTACCATGTTATCTTCAAACCATTTCTGTGTAGACTTTGCTGTATGCATTTGGGTTTCAGGATACTGCAACCTAGGCTTGTTGCAATAAACAATAAATCAATTAATCACATGATAAATTAAAAGAAGCTCAATAATTTTCATTTGCATGATTTATTGTTGTATCTTTTCTCTCTCTATTTCTACCAAAGACTGGATGATAAAAGTCTTCAGTTTCGTTCTTTGGTCTCAACGAGTCCGATTTTGTGAAGGACAGCTTTTTTATTTTTAACAGATACTCTATAATTAACTGTATTTATTTATGTTTTGTTCATTTATGTTGGATATTTAAAATGTCTTCCGGTTCCAGTGTTAAATGTTCATTATAATTTCAAGTTAAGTGATCTTTAAGAATGTATTCTTGTATTATAATGTCATCAGCATTATGTTACTAGAAATTGGTCTCAAAACAACATTATCGTTTATCACGATAACACCAAACATAGTGTTTTGTCTTATAGTCTTAAAGTTTCATTTTAGACTACCGTATTTTCCGCACTATAAGGCGCACCTAAAAACCTTCAATTTCCTCAACAGCCGACAGT